ATATATATATATATATTACTTGATACTTGAAGATTCTTAGTTTAGAAGCTTTTAAAAAATCCCATTGATTTAAATGGAATAATGAGTACTTGTATTGTGATTAGTATCTTTTCTCAGATCTGTTTGTGTAGTTTTTCATCTTTTTTTTTTCTAGATGTGTTAACTTGATTTATTCATTTATTAAAAAGTTAAAGTTTAAAAATCCCCCATTGATTTACATGGAAAGTTCAGCATTCAGTGACATAATCGTAATATTTGCTTACTTCTATTGCAGTTAATGTTTGCATGCTGAATTTCGATTGGTCTTGTCATTCTTACGTATTTAACCATTTATGACAAAGTGGCTCTGTGGCATTTAAGTTACTATAGTTTTACATACTCTTTTGCAGTCTTGCAAGCATCAATATTTCCTTCAGAAAATGCAAATCTGGTTAAAAATTTCTGTCAGTTCCCATCTGCACCTGTGTCAGAAGATGAAAACATATCATGAAGTGCGTTTTAATGGCAGTAAACGTAACACAATGACCTGTACGTAATGGCTGTCTTATATCTGTAACAATATATTTGTGTTTCTGCCACCTGGCTTCCCATATGCCACAGTCTCTGTCAGGCACGTCAATCGGATAACATGGTGAATCTGACACAGTGGCTTCGGCTGCACAGAAGCATGTGTTATGAGCATATAAATATCAGGATGTATAATGTCTTTAGTGTCACTGTGATATGAGTAGCGATCCTTAGTTTTTTTTCATGCAGTTGTTAAAGGTGAGCAGGCGAAAAATGACAGGCGGAGACTGCTTAAAGATGCACAGCTAGTGAAAACAAGAGTTCTACAAAGGCTTTTTCATGTAATGTATTCACTGTCTGACATTTGGAGCAGAATTGGGCTGCTGTTAAATGTCTTTCTCCAAACTCAAGGTCGTGCGATGGTGTGGATTCAACAGCTTGGCAATGTATTCTGTGTATTCATGTGTACGTTAAAGCTCCACGTTCCTCTTTGATCTCGACGTCGGCTGACAGCGAGAAGGAGTGGCTCTCCCGCAATTTTCGGACAATTTCCATTCACTACCCTTCTTGTTTGCCTACGTTTTAAGTCAGTCCCTTTAACGCAGAGCTCTGAGTAACAAGAGGCCCTTGCTGGAAATCGTTGCTTCCTGTGCATCTCCCATCCAAAAGGCATCACTGATGTAACACGCTGGCCCAAAAAAGAAAAGGAAGGGGAATGGGGTTTGCGAGCCGTCTGTCCTCCCTGGATGGTTCTGGAAAACGGTTGGCAGGAGAAGAGGGCCGGGCGTGGTACATTCAGTGGTTAAGTCATTAGGCTAGGCGTGTCAGTGAGTGTGTGAAAGCTCCGGGGTGGAGGTGGAGGCCTCACTCTAGCCCTCAGGAAATGTTGAATCAGAACATTTTTTGGGACTGCTAGGGCTTAATGGGACTCAGAAGGGATCTGAAGTCCGTCACAATATTTTTTGAGTTACCATGACTTGGCGTGTGAGTCATCTATCATATTATGAAACCCGGCTCAGCCAGGGAGGGGTTCCTTACCAAAGAACCTGAAGAACCCAGTCTGAAGCCAAGGCTCAGACCTGTTTCAGCGCTCAGATTCGGAGAGGAGATTGATAACTGAGACGGAGACTTTGTGATGAAGGGGTTTGGCTTGGGAGTTGCCTTTTTAGAAACCAGAGAACTACTTTTTTCTTTCATGCTGCTCTTGGTTTTTGTTGCATATTTGATAATGAGTACCTATTTAGTGACAAACATTGATCTACTGTCTTTTTTAATTCTGGAAAAAAAAAAAAAATAAAAAATATATATATATATATATATATACGTACACATATGCATATTAGAAAATGTGTTCAAATTATATACCACTGTATAGTCTCTTTTTGTTTCTCACCTTTAGCCAACATTTATTAGTTGTTTGCATCAATAATAAAAAAAAAAAAAGGTCTGCATCACCTACAATATCATAATCTTCCATCCTCCCACTTAGTGACTAAGTTACCACAACTTTGTAAAAGTAGATAGAGTGGGATAAAGTTAAAATTAATTTTTTTAAGCCACTGTTTTGAGTTTATTTTATGCGATGCATGTATTTTTGACCTGGCTTTTAAAATGCCCAATAAAATGAGGCTTTAAATCACAATGAAAATGAAAGGTGTTTTTTTTTTTTTTTAATTCAGTTTTTTTCTGTAAGTTTTTATTTTCTTTTATTTTTGTGACTCTCCAGAATAGTTGTTGATTTGATCTACGCTGAGCTAACCTTTAGAATATTATACTAATGACACTATATGACACTAATGAACATAATTTCCCCTCAACATAAATCATTGAGCAGTAATGGTAAGGGATCTGGATGTCAGCTTTTCTTGTGGAGCAGAATTTTGTATCATGTGTCATTTTTTTGTCCATTATGAGACATAGAAACCATTGTATTTATTGCATATCAATGCATTGTTAAATTCTTGTTCAAATCTATATATTAATACTATATCTAATCTATATACATCTGTACATTAATGTTAAGAAAGGTCATTGTATTTTAAGCAGTCTCTAGAAATCTCCTTTTTCTCTGATGTCTTAAATTTGTGATTAAACAACATGCCTCCCTAATACTGAAATGCCTGTTTGCCCTTGACTGAATTCCAGCTACCTCTAGTCTTGCCGCATACCCATAGAGAGGCATTCTGCCCCTGTGGCAGCGTTCGGCCTGCTGGCCCGTTACTGGTGTCGCCTCATGTCAGAGCTCATTACTCCTGGTCCAGCGTTCTCCTGCATGCTACCCAGAATCTGCCTGCTGGCGCCTTCTCTAGCCTGTCCAGCGATCAGCAATTAACCCCCCGATGCATTGTGGCTGAACCCTGCCACACAACCATTGTTTAGGGTTGTGTTCAAAAGGTACGCTTTTTTTTTGCAGCTGACCTCCTGCCAGTTGCAGGTCACGTTAATTGCCCCAGATTGATATTCCCACTGTGCTTGATGCTGGCGTTGGTCAACCCCTGGAGCAAACGGATATGCTTTTTCATCTGTGAAGACTAACCATGCGGTTATCCTTTTATGTTGCTTCTTAGTGCACTTCAGTATCTCTAAAGATAATCCTATTGTTATTACCTAATTAAGCCTCCAGCCACAACCCTGCAGATCATACAGAACTTTGCTCCCAGTGGGCTCTACTTAGACTTTCCAAACTTCATCCTCTGTCTTTGTAGCACTGAATAGCATTGGATGCTAGTGTTGCATGAAGATCTTTCGAATAGT